TGATCAGCATCGTGTTTGATCTATTCTCTGTTTACGAATTCGCAAGAAGAATTCGTAAAAGTTTTTAAGAGTATCCGTACGAATTCGATAAAGTTCGCCTCAATTCGGTACGAATTCGCAAAATAAGTGTAAAACGCGAATTGTTGTACGCGAATCATTTTTACGCTTAAAAGCTGCGATTCGTCAATTCGTCTTTAGACACTTTGTCCACACATCTCTGTTCAGATGCAATTCTTTACTGTTCCTTTCAGACAACAGAATCATCCTCATCGCCGGACAGTGATCAGTTAGAAAAAGGAAAACAGCAACGTGTTTCGGTTAATGTATTAGATATAATGGATGTTAAAGGTAATTTTCGGCATTGCTGAAATTTTTAAATCTCGGTAAAATCCTATGCTGACCTCTACACAGAAACACTAGTGGAAGAAGAAAGAGACAGCAATCAAGTCTTAACCTTTTTTCGTTCAAATATCATTACTGTTTCTGCTCTTCTTTTTAGTCGATCAAAATGAAAATATTCTTATTACAAATGTTGCTTCAAATTGAGACAAAGAATTATCGTAAGTTTGTAAAACTCTGTAAAGAGAATTGACTGATGACAGATGTAATTAGAGTTTAGTCGACTTCAAATGTGCACAAAGAACTTCCTTGAATTAATGCATTTTCTAAGAGATAAAAAAACTGCCGTAAAAATGGTGCCTGGTCTATTTCAGTGTCATTTATATGTTTCGGACATCGGAAGAAAACATCTCGATCACTCATCCGAATTTGCTGTGAACAGGGTGTCTGGCTAACGGTTCCACTCAAGTCAAAAAAAATTTTCTAAAACAGTCTAAAAAAAATTTTTCGCTGCATTCATCTGGAGAGGGACATCGTTTTTCAAGCTGATTCCGACTATTGACTTCAGTAAACAAATCATATTTCAATCTTGCACATTGAAAGTTAAAGTTTATTTTCGACCTAAACATTTTCTTGAAAAAATTGAAACATATATCTGTTTCAATATGTGTCTGTTCAAACATAACTAAATAAAAAATTGAATTCTCTACATAATGATTCATTCAAAGCTAGTCAAATCAACTCAAGTCAGACTTACCTTGACTTGGTCCAAAATTTTCTGCGGCGTACGACTTGACTTGAGAAAGTTTTTTTCAAGTCAAGTCATTTCTAGTAAGAGATTTTTGTTTAAATTAGACTTTTTCTACCCAGAAAGAGAGTTTCTGAGGCTAGAAAAACTCTCACCCAAAAGGTGCCAGCAAATTTTATGTTCTGCCTAATTTTAATCAGACTTGACTTGGAGGAAAAAATTTAGAGGAGCCACTTGACATGACTTGCTCAGCTCTGGACTCATTTGGTTTAAAATTCGTTTTTTGAAAAAGCAATTTTTAACCTGATTGGAATGATTCAGAAAAGTTCTTTTAAAGCGCATCGGAAAGAGCAGATCGAACTATATAACCTTGTATAGAAAATATCTTTTTCGACTACTTTTATGATGGAGTCGTACCGCGGGTTTAAAATCTTCCAAAAACGATGTTGAAATTCCGTCACTAAGGATTTTTCTTGATTGGTGTTTCATGCTTTATAAAGAAATTCGTTAAAAACTGCACAACTCTCACCCAGAATCACTATTCGCCTTGGAGAAATATGGGAAACTTTAGCAAGTGGCAGGAAAATTCCACTTTTTGAAATCCCTCAGAGTCACTATTACCTGCTTACAACTCTGCTGAGAATGAACGAAATCGATCCAAAATTTTTTTGGTAGTAGAACTTGAGTCTATTCGTCGGAGGAAAAATTATAGCCCTTTTGGTTTTGACGCTGGAAAATTATAGCTCTCAGAAGATGGAAAAACGAAGTTTCGTTACGTTCGGAAACGTTCTAAAGTCTAGTGTCATCAGAACCGATATAAGATTCGGTATGTTAAATTCTATCGTTTACAGCATTTCATATTTCCGTCCTAAGGCTAGACATTCAAGGTTTATGAGTTTTATTTTTTTGTTTTTATTGAGTTTTGCTTCACCATGCGCTTTCATTAAGGTAAGACTTGAATCAAGACGAAACAGACGGTTTCCAGTGATCGGATCTCCAGAAAACTCCTTGAAAATATTTCTATAACTTTGAAAACCACTTTTTCAGAAACAGCAGACCCGAAAACCCATACGAAAGTTTTTTGTAGGGGACCGAATCACTTTCAGAACATATCCTGCTCTAACCAAAAATGACTACTGTGCTACTATATTCTAGATTTGTCAAAATGACTACTGTGTGGAACAAATTTCCACCCGAATTATGGAGATTGGTCTTCGAATATTTCAGTGTACTAGAATTATACCAATCATTCCGAGGATTAAATATGAAACTTGATTCAATTCTAAGTGAAACAAATTTATACCTACAGTTAACAAAATTAACCTATCAATATCATCTGAAATATATTTTACCAACAATTAAGTTTCAAAATGTCAAATCACTGCTGTTGTTTCACGTATCGCCGAATTCGACCGCGTCTTCATATAAACTACGTCAATTTCTCTACGGTTATCCGTTGAATTCATTCGAACAAGTTCGTTCCCTCACATTATGTTTTAACTCTGAATGGCAGATATTTTTAAATTTAATAAACGAACACTTGCCCTTTCTCAAACATCTTCACTCATTCAAATTAAGACACCAACATACATATTTTGACATCGGTGACAAAAACAGTTTACGTTTACAAACGAATCGTCTATTGACTTATTTGTTTAACACTTCAACTGCTACTCATCTATCTACATTAATACAATTGGATTTGGGTAAATAAGATATATACTTACATTCCGTCGACATTAGGCGCAAACAAAGAGATATACGTTTTCCGAAGCAGTTTTGTATACTAAATCCAATAGTGAAAGCCGCAGCTCGCTATCGTTGTTAGGAAAAAATTACAGTCAACCCCCAGCAGAAAGTGGAATTTTTCGTTATCCCCAGCGGAAATAATACGTATTGCAAAGCACGGCACGCTCAAAACGAAGCTGATAGAACCTTGGTTTTGGTCTCAAATGAACTAGTCTATATATTTCAATACAATAATTTTACGTGTGAATCATTTAACTTGTTCGAACATAACTTTTAAAACCCGGTTTCCCAGAATCCTGCAAAGCCCGAAACCTGCCGAAAACATTTTCATACCCGTTGGATAGACCACTTAATTCTAAATAAAATCAGAGGTTTCACAAGTTTCTGAAATGTTTCAGTCGAAAACTACAAGGAAAATATGAAAACAGACGAAAATTTGCAATACAAACAGGAGTTTTGTGACAAAAATGACTCTATTTATGTTTTCTTTAGTTACCGACTGGAATGTCCTAGAAACTTGTGCTACCTCTCGTTTTCTATAGAACTGAATAACGTATCCACTGATGTGTTCGAAAAAATTTTTTTGGGTGAATTTCGGACTATGCAGATTATCTCGAAAACGGGATGTTTGCAGATTATATTGGGCCTGAATAAAGGTATTCCCCGTGAAACTTTCTAATTAAAATATATAGACTAAAGTATGCTCTTTCATTTGAGACTAGAACCAAGATTCTATCAGCTTTCCTCTGGTGGTGCCATGCTCTGCAACAGAAATCATTTCCGCTGGAAAGTGCTCACAAATCCTACTTTTCGTTGGAGAATAGTTTGCCTATAACTTTTCCCCCACAAACATAGCGCGCTGCGATTTTGCCACCGGGATCAGCATGGAAAAATGTGTATTTCATTTTTTTGCGTCGAAACTTCTGTATATCGTGCTATGAATTAACCTATTTAGATTACGATACACTTGATCCATTAGCACTTCCTTCAACAATTTCAACAGCCTTAACAAATCTACGATATCTGACACTCTCTGATTTATTCTTCGATGATTTCTTATGTCTATTTCCAATATTACAACATGTTATCACAATAAAAATTGTAGGATTGTATTGTAACAATACTGATTTAGAACAACTGCCCGAGAAACTATCAAAATGTACTAATCTCTATATCTATATGGGTGCATCCGATGACGGAGCAACATTTGAACATGTCCACCATATACTGTCGTGTATACCACAGTTGAAAAAGTTTAAATATGAATGTTGGAGTAGTAATGAATATTTTGTAAATGGCAAAAGATGGCAACAAATATTAATTCCATTGCAGAATTTATTACATTTTGAATTAGACGTTCATTTTGCTCCGTATATCAATTTTTTTACTCAACAAATATCGAATGTTGCACATCAATTTAAAACATTATTTTGGATGGAACGACAAACGAAATTGAGAACAGAAACAAATGATGAAGGTTTTAATTTAAATGTTAAATTTTGATTTCTTAAAGAGTATGTAACTTGTTGTCTTATACAATTATATTGCATTTAAAAGCTAGTAATTCTATTTACTATGCAGCAGAGCTGTCGTAAAAAATTTCATTTTTTTCCCTAAATCATAAACTCGAACGTATTAAAGGATTCGTTTTGTTGAACTGAAAATGCAGGGACAATGTAGTTTTTCTCATTCATTTCCGTGCAAATAGTTTCTTCGTGTAAATATATTCCTATGTATTTTTTGGTCGTGTTGTTATTGTTATGTTAGTCGATCATTTTATCTCTGAGATTCCTGTGCATGACAGACAGCTATGTTTGCAGTGGCGTTGTTTTATACTTTGGAATGAACATGTATATTTCGCCCTTGACATTCTTTTCGATTTGAAAAAATTATATGTACTTGCATACGATTTTTATTTTGAAATGGTATTGATGCAGAAATATTGTGGAATATTGATACGTGGAAATACCGTGAGTGGATAGAGACGTTGTAAACTCATTTTATACCATGCCCATGAAATAATTTTGATGCTCTAACGCACGTTAGCAAACTTTAGAAAATGTTTTTCCAGAAAAAATGCGTTTGCGCGGATTAATTTTCAAATATGGCGCGTGACAACGGTTCTCCTGAGACAGCACAGATTAGGTCCGGTTAAATATCGCTCCAAGAGATAAAACGAGTTGACACGTATTCTGATTTAACAAGTTCATGTGCATGCTATACTTATTCTAAAAGCTAACGAGTTCGGACGACTTAACAGTTCATTCAGTTTACTCTTTATAACGCGTTTTACATGTTGAAGTAGCACATTTAATCGGTTCGAACGAATATGAACATAAAAAACAAATTTATATTTCAGCCGAAAGGTTATTTTAACCCGTTTATATGAGTAGAATAGCTTTTAATCTGCTCAAACTCGTTCAGCAATGACTCATGAAAATGTTCAAGCGTTAAAACGAGTTTAAACAGCGATTTAGCAATCATCGTTTGTTTTCCATAACCAAATGATATATAAATGCCATACCATCTCATCAGGGGTGTAACCGGTATCAAAAATGCGATACCGGTACCTGTCACCCGTAAACAAACTTCGTACCGGTACCGGGTGGTATACCGGTGACCGGTTTATCGGTCTGTACCGGCTTGTCTTAATCATATTTTGCCTAAATACAAATACTTTTTTTTGTTTTTCTTTACTGTGAACTTTATTTTATGTTATCAAAGGGATAGATTAATCTTTTCACCTTGATTATGATTTTTACACGCTGTTTTTGCCAAAACAGCAATCCAATTCAATCTTTTAAATTAAGAAGTTTACATAAGCCGACAAAGCTTAAGTAATTAGAATGAAATTTTAGTAGAAGAAATATGTCATAGAAGAACTGAATTTACACGATGTTTTTCGAAAAAAATCGTATCATACCGCAAAATACCAGCAATATCGGCCGACTGATTATACTTCATACTAATGCTGGTATACTGGTCAGCGTTATAATTCGTACCGGTACCGGGTGTACCTAATGCGACATATACGATGCATTTGCTTAGAAATTTTTCTAAGTTTTTCTCTTGCAGTAAATTACTGTGGGCTACCATAACAGTGCTGTTGGACAATATCTAGTAGACCATAACGTTATGGATCGTAATCAGAACAAACAGTATCGGAAAAGCACAAAAAAATGAAAGCATAGTAACGGATTAGAATTACATTTTGAATCCGAAAAGTTTTATTCTAACAAATGTAAACGAGTTCGAAAAACATTTGAAAATCAAACAAGTTTGAACGCTTTACGGTTGAGAGAAGTGTTAGCACGCATTACAAGCTCTAACTAGTTATAACCACCGAATATGAAACATTTAACAGGTTAGGCTGCTTGCCTAACGCTTTAAAGCTTCTAAATTTTCCTGAGTAACGAGTGTGAACTGTATTTTCATCTATTCCTTATAAAAGTATGTTCGAACGTCTTCAGATTAATTCGTAGATTTTTCAGCTCCTATGTAAGTTTGGACAATAACGCTTTCACACGCATTCAGTACCAATGGACTCGTGCGCGCTCATTAGATTACTTTTTATTTTTAACGCATGTTAACGTGAGTGAGAGTATGAAAATTCTCCCACGGACGGTTTATCGATAGTAATTTGTGCGTAGTAACGAATGTAGGGATAACTGTTGGTTGATGTTGAGGGAGTTGTAGTGTTAAGTGATGGTGGCAAGTATTGTAGGAGAGGAATTTCAAAGTGCCATTTTTATTCACCACGTTCGTTGACGAGGTCAGACTGTAAAACAGACAGAGAAAGAAAGATATGTAGAATACTTTTTAAACTATATTCGGATGTCCAGCTCAAGAAAATGTACAAACAGTTCTGAGGCTGCCGAAAAAAACGTTTCGCCAATTTTAAGTACTTTAAAATTCAGTTTGTCAGCCGGATCACGGCGTGTTCGAGCGACTCCGCTTCAGTAGACATCTGATCAAAACAATGGGAGTCGCTTTTCGCAAATTTATAAAAAAACGATCTGCAAACTAATACTTGTTGTTTTGATTACGTCTTCTGATTGAAACAGTTCCTAGAGTTCGGAGGGATCTTAAATAATAGAAGATACTATTCTGTTTAATTTAAGACGTCTTTAAGGTCTCCAGGTGCTTCGGTTTCGGAGTTATAGACAAAACAAAATCATCAAAACACGTGACGGAATTTCACTACGCAATCGGAGTTAGCCGGACACGCTGATCACTTACTGCTTACGAAAACGTTTTTAATGCGAATTGTGCTGTAGTTAACATTATTAGGTTGTACTTACATACTGCGACTTTTAAAGTTCTTGGAGTCTATCTTATAAAAATCGTTATGAGCCAATGCCTCTGGGATGCAAAGCACACGATCACACCACTTGCAGTGATATTGATAAGATTTATTTTGGTTTCAGTAAAAATCAGAAATCACAGGTCGAATTCTCATAAAACAAACCCTCAGATAACTGTTTAAATGTTCTAGATAAAAGAATATCTTGATTAAGAAAACAGAAAATAAAATATTAACCCTTTACACCTGCCGGTCCCTTCCAAGGAACGTTGATATAATAGATTTATAAAAAGAACGGATCATCAGCCAAAAAGCTAGATTATTACTAATGTAAGACAATAGAGTAGCCTAACGTTTGATTGAAGTAAGAAAGAAAAATTTTCATCTTAATTCGATATTTTTGAATTTTAAAATTGAATGAAGTTCAGGAATGAACTTTTGTTTTTAAATATTTTCTATACTTGTAGCCACTAAACCATTTTCTAATTTTGTAGTTGATAGTTTTGGTTGTATGGATGAAATCAAAGAAGAAATTTTTTGTAGCATTCTTCTTTGCGTAAAGGCGCTATGAATTCACTGTCCCTTGGAAGGGACATTCGGGTGTAACGACATGAAAATGAATTTTTTTATCTTGACATCTTGTTAGCGTGGATCCTTCTGTGATCACTCGCTACACATCTGAAGATGAGTGAATGAAGAAAAAAGATGTAAGCAGCAGTATAGCGCCGTCGCCGACAAATGTGAATGCGTTTTTAGTGAGAGAAACTAGTATCCGCTTCATAATGCAACTTACTGGGAGAGTTTTTTAATAGCGGTTGTAGCTGAAGAGACAAACTTGCGGTTTTCCCATCTCAGCAGTCAAAGTTACTTTGCTTTTTTTTCGCAAAAAGCAATGTAGTAAAAAGCAAAAAGCAATGCCACGATTATGTCTGTGTTCTGTGTTTTTGAGATTGTCAGACCAGAAGACAGTCCAATCCTGGTGAATCGGGAAAAATCGTTGCAGGTCTCGTTTACGGTGTTGTCTTACAGAAGTTGTTCAAAAACAACCGAGTACTTTGACTTTTGAAACGAGTAATAGCCAGAAAATAACAGAGAATTAGCACACTTATACTCGTCAGATAGTAGTACTAGAGAATTCGCAATCGATCCTGACTTCGGCTAACGAGAGAAAAAATAAGCATTGTAAGTCTATAGCCAACATGAAGAAGTGTTGTATGGTGAAGTGTTAAAGAATAACTCAGTTCGTCGCGAATGCGAATTTTCCATGATCTCAAAAATACGTAAGGTATAAATAATTCAAAATTCGAGTGAACTTTTTTTGACTTTTTCATGCATATTCTGATTCGCTAGGATGTGCTGATTACGAATATCACCTTTTCATGAGGACTCAGGTAGAAAAAATTAAAACACTGCGAAAATGTCAAAAAGCGCAATTTTGCCTAGCTTTGGAAAAAGTCATTTCATGAACTTATTTTTTTAATTACAAAACTACCAACCAGATATTTGGAATCAGCGCAAAAACCTGAATTGGAAGGGCGTATTTTCGTTTTTCTAGACCTGTTTTCTTGGCCTTCATTAACGGTCAAAGAAACACTTATCGAAAAAGCAAGGTCTCGTTCCCAAACCTATGTAGTCTCAGGGGTTGAAAGGTAACCCCTCGTACCATACATCAGAAGATTCGTCATCTCGCGCGCTACAAAGTTATATGTTTAGATTTTTTCATTTTGCTTTCCTTGCAGAAAAAATCACGTTTCTTTTTTCCACTATACCAAGAGGCAAGGCGATTTCTGACTAAGTCGCGATTTTTTCGACCAAATTTAATGAAAATGGCGCCAAATAGGTTAAAAACGATGGCGAATTCAATGGAAATATTTTTAAAATTTTCAAAAACTATCCAGAAAACCTCAACAACCAGACTTTTTGAAAATGGTCTCGAGCGATAGAGAATTGAATTCTGAACAAAGTGAGACGTTTTCGAGCCTTCTGCGACTTCTCCTTCAAGAGAAATGTCCAAAGAATTAAAAAACCGAATTCGAGACTTTTTATTGGCCATCTTTTTTATTTGGATGAGTCTATTGACACTCTCAGGAGTGTCCCAGGAGTGTCAATAAGGAGCTATTGCCACTCCCTGGGCGCGCCAATAAGGAGCTAAGATGAAGGAATGTTCTGAATATTTTCCTTGAGGTTCATAGCATTATAA